TTTCGATACAGTGACTCAGTTCATTCCTTCCAGATGGAAGGAAAAATGTAGAGTAGCTAAAGAAAATGGAAGAATATTGAAAAAAAATGGAAATTTCAGAACACTTTAACATATTCACATAGAACTGGCACATTGATCCACAGTAAAACTAGGCAATACTGTATGACTTAAAATCAGTAAAGTTGTATATACATAATGGTTGTGTCCTTTCACAAAACATATTCAATCTGTATGCTCAGCAATTTATTCAAGAAAGTGAATACGCAAAGATAAACATTTCATCGAGATTAGAGACAGACTTTAACAGATATGTAGGTGGCACAATTTTGCTTCTTTAAAGCTAAGAGAACTTGAAGAACTTACTGCTGAAAATCAAAGACTGCACCTTTCAGTGTGGATTACACTTCAACATAATACAAATATCCTCCCAACTGCTCTAATATGCAAAACCACAATAAATGGAGAAAAAGTTGAATTTGTCAAGTATTTAATTTTTCTTGGATCCACTATCAAACCGAAAGAAAATCAAACAATGTATTGGGGAAATGTACTCAAAAATTTCTTTAAAGTTAAAGAGCAAAGATGTGACTTTGAGGAATAAGGTATATCTATCTGATCCAACTTTAGTTATTTTCAGTTATTTCCTAATAATTGAAACCTGGTAAGTGAATACAGAAGAGAGGGGGAGAAAAGATATTGATTTTTAAAAAATTTCTATAATAACAATTTTACTTTTATATCTAAAACTTAAACAGTAATTTCATAGATTAATTAAATTCACATTTGCTATGTTTTTTTAATTTTTTTTCAGTCATTTGTTTGAATCAGGAATCATAAAAATTTAAAACAATTGATTTGGTGGTGGGTTTCTTGCCTTTTATTCAATAGATCCTTGCTCTCACTTATCCCCCCCACCCCGAAATTCTTTTTTGAAGAAAGAGGTCCTTTATCATGTAGAATTTATCATGGTCTGAAATTTGATAATGCAATACCAAATATTATTTAGCATAACCTACATTGAGATATATAATAAATGTGTCCAGGTTGA